TTTACATATATAGCATTTATTTTGAGAACGTAACGATAAATAAAATGTAAAGAGCACGTGAGGGTGGAAAAATTTGTTGCTTCTTTGTATGTCTGTGTTTGTTTGTGTGTGTGTTTTTGTTTGTAGTTTTGTTTGCATGTATTTATGTATATATGTGCGTGTTTATTCATTTGTATGTCTGTTTGTGTTTGAGTAGTGTTTAATATTTCTCTATTGGGTGACTTGAGTTTAGCTTAGATTATGCGTGACTATAATTCTGTTCATATGTTTAAATGTGTGTGTCTCTCTCTTTTCTCTCTCTCTTTCTCTCTCCTCTCTCTCTTTTCTCTCTCTCTCTCTCTCTCTCTCTCTCTCTCTGTATGTGTGCGTGTGGAGTGTGTGTCTGTGTAAAGTTTTATGCAACCGTCAAAAAATATATGTATGATTACTTCATTTCCATATAATATTTACATAAACTGCAAATTAATCCTACCTACAATCACTCGGATTGAACAACCTTAACTGGAAATATAAATTCGAAGCCTCATACCTCCATAAATATTGAAGTGTTGATACATTGAAAATATCTATTATTTAAAAAAGGTATCGCGTAAATACGTACATCGGGAACTAACATGTGCGATTTCCAGCTCTCTCTTTCTTCTCTCTCTCTCTCTATCTCTCTCTTTCTCTCTCTCTTTCTCTCTTTATTTATTCCATACTTTTCCACTCTTCTTTAAGTTTATTTCTTTTTACAGATGTATAAAAAATTAAAAAAAAATTGTGGTTAAAAAACAGAAAAAGAGGGAGAGAGATATATATAAAAATAGAGAATGACAAAAGATAGAGAGAGGGAAAGAGAAAGAAAGATATAAAAATAGAGAATGAGAAGAGATAGAGAGAAAGAAAGAGAAAGAGAGAGAGATAGATAAACCATTAAAATATACAAAAATTTACAATGGCAAATACATACAAATATTTATTAAAAATACCTTAAGATACTAAATTCAGGTTGTAGTTGTCACATTCAATTCATCTCTTGAGTTCGTTGCGTATTATGCTGTTTTGTATTGTATTCTATTGTATTACATTGTTTCTTAATGTTATGCTTTACCATACAAAACAAAACAGTACATTACAATAATATACAAAACAATACAATACAAAAGTATAATAGAATAAGCTACAATACAAAACGATACAATAGAATACGTTTAGACGACATTTTCCCAGAAAAACCATACAATATAATGCAATACAATATGAAACAATACAATACAAAAAGATAAAATACAATACAAAACGATGCAACACAATACAAATCGATACAATACAATACAAAACAATACAAAACAAAACGATACAATACAATACAAAACGATGCAATACAATATATTCGTTGTTGTTTGTTGCTTATGAAACGGGTAAACACAAAAAAAAATAAAATATCAAATATATGTTGGTCATAAAAAATGCATACCTGCCCTCCAACAACATTTGTATAGTTTTATTTTGTATCATATCGTTTTGTTTTGTATTGTATGGTATTTGTATTTGTGTTTGTATTGTTTGGTTTTCTAGTGGATTTTTTCTACTGACTTGTATTATTCCGTTTCGTATTGTATCTTGTTGTATTGTTTCGTAATCTAATACAGTACAGTTGAATGCATTAGGAAACAATATAACAATTCGGCACACAAATATAAATACGCACAAAAAACATACAAACATAAGCATACATACAAACATACATACATACAAACAAACATACATACAAACAAACAAACGCACGACCTACAGTTCCAGATGAGCATTTGTATAGCTCTCCAGAGGTTCAACTAATCGCAGAGTCTTGGGACTTTTGAGATTCCTTGCTACCCGAACGGATACAAATATGAATGTATGTATGTATGTATGTATGTATGTATGTATGTATGTATGTATGTATGTATGTATGTATTTATGTATGTATGTATGTATGTATGTATGTATGTATGTATGTATGTATGTATGTATGTAAGTAAGTATGTATGTATGTATGTATGTATGTATGTATGTATGTATGTATGTATGTATGTATGTATGTATGTATGTATGTATGTATGTATGAATGTATGTATGTATGTATGTATGTATGTATGTAGGTATGTATGTATGTATGTATGTATGTATGTATGTATGTATGTATGTATGTATGTATGTATGTATGTATGTATGTATGTATGTATGTATGTATGTATGTATGTATGTATGTATGTATGTATGTAGGTATGTATGTATGTATGCATGTATGTATGTGTGTAGAAGATATTTGTAATATTTATTCAGACAATAGAAGACATTAAATAGATGTTGGAAAAGCAACATTTTAGCATCACATTATCCCTTCTTTATTCTTTCTTTCGTTCGTTCGTTCGTTCATTCATCAATTCATTCGTTCACTAATTCATTGTTCATTCTTTCATGCCTCCATTCATTCGTTTGTCTGTTCCCAATTTGTTCATTTAGTTGCTTCTTGCTTGCTGTTAAGTTACTGCATCGTTCATATTTGTATTATTTTCGTTAGTATATGAATTTGTTCATTCGTTCATTCATTCATTTATTTATTAGTTCTTTCATTAATTCATTAATTGATTGATCATTTGTTCATTCGTGGACGTAAGCCATTTACTTAGAATACTTTCATAACCGATCAGCAAAATTTAAACCGATTTATATTAACATTTATAATCTTTGGCGCGAGCACATCGCTGGTGTAAGTGCATTGGCTTCCTCTAAAGCTCATTTAACTCAGCTTCGTCGTTGGAAAGTTACTAAAGTTCAAGATTTCTGGCGTGTCCGACAAAATTTTTTCAAATGTAAGAGAGAATAATTCGGTTTTAAATTTATTTCAATAATTTTAAGGTTTAGTTTTCGGTCCGGTAACTTTTCCGAAGCTCCCAAAATCTTGGCTTGGCCGGTTCACATTTATTTATTATCGCTCCCGCCAGTGCTGGCTTGTTAAGTTTAAAAATCGTTGAATTGCATTCTTCCTATCGAAAAAAAATTTATTCGTCATTTTGTTTATATAAATTTTTTGTATTTTTTTCAGACGAATATTAAAACATAAATCACAGAATAATGGCTGCCCAAGATGACATGCCCTCGTTTAAAGTTAGTGAAAGTCATTCATCTCTTCATTCATCTTTCTTTTTCATCCACGATGATTCGTTCCCACATGTCCGTCCGTTCATTCCGTTTAAATTTCAGTTTTTAGATGTTTGGAATTTGATTTTATATGATATAAATCAGCAAAAGTTCGATAAATTAGTCTTTGTTTGACTAGTTTTTAATTTTAAGTAGTGTAGTGCTGTATGGCTTACCTACCTTGTGCTGAATATTAGTGCCAAAAATCGTTTTCAGACAATTCCTTCACTAAAGAATTGGTTACCCAATCATAATTTAGATCAGAAATTTTTAAGTTAATTTTTACTTTCAAAAATTTAGAAAATGACATTTTCAATTGTGCACAACCGGCTCTTGATGTTTCGTTGGTTTCATTTTCATTGTGAATAATCAAGCAAAAGATATTTATTTATAATAAGCAAGTGAATTTTAAGTGAAAGTATTGACTGCTGGAGCACAAATTTAAGACCTAATTTCAGACGGCGTAAAATTGAGAACTAGCCATTAGATGGTTAGATCCTATCAATACAGTACAGTGAATTCAGAATGATTTTTAGTGGTCATATTAAAATATTGGACTGACATAATTTTAAAAAAACCTGAAGTGAATATAAAATGATTATTTTGACTTTATTTTAGAATAATTTGTACATGACTTGATTAGGTTGTAAATCTTCCATTTTGTTGTATGACAGAAAGGACAAGATTTTTTTATTATAATAATTGTAATTACAATTGAAACTTCCCTAACATTCAGCTGGTGTTGGTCGGGGATGGAGGAACTGGAAAGACAACTTTTGTTAAAAGACATCTCACAGGGGAGTTCGAGAAGAAATATATTGGTTGGTGTTTGTCTTATGCCTATGCTCATTTGTCTGGGCTTTCATCTATTTGCTTGATGTATGCACTTTCTTTAAATTTTGTATTTTTTTTCTCTGTCTTTGTTCATTTTCTTTGTAGATTTTTAGCTCACTTGCATCCTATCTCGTGAAATTACAATTTTACTTAAGCAAAAATTATATTTATATATATATATTGTAGTGGTACTTTTCTTTTCATGCCAACAGCCACATTGGGTGTGGAGGTGCACCCCCTGGTCTTCCACACAAACAGAGGACCAATCAGGTTCAACGTCTGGGACACAGCTGGTCAGGAGAAGTTTGGAGGGCTGAGGGATGGGTACTATATTCAAGGTTGGAAAGTTATACAAGTTGCTTATTTGTATCTTTACGTGTATGTGTTGTTATTATGTATTAGGTGTCTGATCATTTTCTATTTGCATCACATTCACACACACACAGGTCAGTGCGCCATCATCATGTTCGACGTAACGGCACGAGTCACGTACAAAAATGTTCCCAACTGGCACAGAGACCTGGTTCGTGTCTGTGAGAACGTGCCCATTGTACTCTGCGGCAACAAGGTCGATGTCAAAGATAGAAAGGTCAAGGCCAAGAGTATCACTTTTCACAGGAAGAAAAATTTACAGGTACGTATCATTTGTTTAAGTTGCCTGGATCTGATTGTTTGCTAAGCTTGCTGAGTTCTATGTGTTTCAATCTTAGTCTTTGAGTGTTTTTGTGCTTTATTTGTTTGTGTGCCATCTTTTGTTTGTCATGTATTCATTTCCCCTCATCATAAATTATAAATGCACCTTCTGAACAGTACTACGACATCAGTGCAAAAAGTAATTACAACTTTGAGAAGCCCTTCCTCTGGTTAGCTAGGAAGCTGACAGGAGATCAGAACCTGGAGTTTGTTGCCATGCCAGCCTTGGCGCCTCCTGAAATTGAAATGGACCCATCCATGGCCAACAAATATGAAGAAGAACTCAAGGTTCGTGTGCTGTTCGTTGTGCTATGGTTGATTGTTGATATGTGGAGGTTTGAATGGTTGAGTAGAATTTTATATTGATTGTTATACTACTTTTTACGTCTTTTGGCAAATACATTTTTCAACCCTCAAATGCAATTTTATCTGTGTCTATTTTTGTCTGTATTTGTTTAATATTGCTTTTCTAATATTTTCTTTTGATATCAAATCAATCAATCCTCGTTTATAGTCTCAATCCGTTACGGGTCGGACTTCTTTTGAAATTAAACATGTTTTTTATTAGATCTTGCTTGCATTCTATTTAATTTTCTCATGTAATAATTAAGTAATTGATACAGAAATGCCCTTTGAAACATGTGTGTAGGTGTGTGTGTATTGTACATTTAACATACATTCCACTTTAACGTTCATGGAATTACCTTTACAAATGAATGAATGAATGAATTAATTAATTGTTGGTTTGCTAATCAATTTAATTTTTATGTCTTAACCACAGATTGCCCAATCCACAGCTCTTCCTGATGATGACGACGACATATAAATTGTTGAGGCAGAGTACATCTTACACTTCTATCATTACTACTACTACTACAACTATGTATACTATTATTACTGTTAGATTACTACTTTTTTAAGTTACCATTACTGATTCTATTTTTACTTTATAACGTTCAATATGGTTTCTGGCTTCTGAATGAAAATATATTGTATTAGGTAGGTACGATCTTTATTTTCATTGCGATGTCATTTTCAATATTTTTTTATAACTTATTGAAAATTGTCGTAAATTTCATGCCATTTTGTTGTTGCTGCTATTATTACTATTATTACTACTGCCAGCAAACTCTCATTAATTATTATTTTAGTGTTGTTTTTCTAATAAATAAATGAACCAGTAAATTGGGAATTGCTTGGTCTGTTGATTCGTTAGTGCTTATATTTAGCATGTCATGATGGAAGTAACAACTGTACGTTCGTGTTTATGTAGTGCTTGGCTGTTTTCTTCTATTCTAAATTTGAGACTCGTTCAATCATGACAATGTCTTATTTTTTTTATTGCATGGTCAGTGACAGCGTTGTATTAGATAGAGTAAGAATTGGTTTTTATTCGGGGGGAAAGGTACAAGGGCTAAAGGTTATAGGTTAGGTTGTTTGAGGCGTTTGCAGTTTTTGTAACATGGATAAGTTAGTTGGAGTAGTTGTTTTAGAGGTGACAATTTAGAGGTTCGTCAGTGACTTGTTGGTTCATTTATTTGAATGGAAAAAAACTGCAGAAATCTTTGTGGGTTGAAATATTTTGAAAACAAATGAGATTAGTTAATTGCAAATGGGAAAAGATTAGTTTGTCATTTAAAATTAACAAATAAATGTAATTAATCGATAAAACGAATAAAATAAATGCATGTAGTGGGAAGTTTTAAAACAAAACTGGAGGAATGGATGACTTAAATAGAGTGGTGAATAATACTAAGGGCAATATCCCAATATCCATTCAGTAAGTAAGATGACATAACAAAGCTGGCATTTGGTCAGGGCGCATAAAATTAATACGAAACATGGTATATAAATAATAATATCTGTAATAATAATCTGGCTCTGAAAGAGTCTTCAGAAATGTATTAACACCGTAAGGTTGTAGTTTAAAAGTGACCCAACGGTGTAAAGGTAACTTATAATAGCTATAACATAACCCATAACTTAAATGCATATGGCCTGGCACAGACTTTTATAATATAATTATGGTATTTGTTCGTAATATTATGAAAATGTTCGATGATATTATTATTAAATTGTTAATATTATAATCGAAAAAAATAAAACGATGGATGAATATCAAGTAGCAAGATCAGCAGGGTGTTGAATGGGTAGCATTCATTAGGAAATTATTTATAAAATATGTATCTGTGTGTGTGAGTGAATTTGTGTAAGTGTGCGCGCGCGTGTGTGTGTGCGTTTAATTATCATTACAAGATAATAAACAAGGCAAAAGTTACACAGGAATTGATAAAGTTGTGTATAAAAGTCCTTTTTTGATAGCCTTAGATATGAATGTTTGCTTGTGTGTGTGTGTGTGTGTGTGTGTGTTGTGTTTGTGTAGACCTGCATATTTTTGTAAGTCCGTTCATATCTCTAGATGCATTTACGTTTAGAATATAGTTTTTCAAGCCTTTATTTGTCAAATGTGTGCAAAAATCGTATCAGTTGAATAATAATAAATATGGAGTATCGATTTTTGAATCCTGGGCCGGTTTTAGGCATAGACAAACCAGGCAGTCGCCTAGAGCCTCCGATTTTTAGGGACCTCGCAATGCAGATTAAAACAACTTTCCTTTAGAAATCTCACTTCGGTGAATTAATTTTATATACCAAACGGTTTTATTTTTAATCAATCGCTCTATTATGCAGCAAGAATTTATCAGAAAACAAACGTATTCAGGTTGAATTTTTTTAAATGTTTAAAACTTTCTTGTGCACATTCTAAAAAAATGTCATTTTGGGCCACCAAATTTTTTTTGCCTAGGGCCTCCTAATACTACTTAAGGCCGGCCCTTCCTGTTGAATCTTAGCATTTATAAACTTAATCAAAGCACTCGAATTGTTATTTCGTTTTTTGCTATCTTCTTCATCCTCATCATCATCGTCTTCTCGAAAGGCATCATTAAATTTTCCAGTGACGTTATCGTCGTCGTCATTTTCATCATCGCCGACATCTAGGTCAGCCATCAGGTGACACGCATTTCTGCCGTTGTCCAGTCTTTTTGTGACCATGTAGAAGATGCTGGAGTGAGTGAGTGAGTGAGTGAAAAATCGAGTAAAAAATGAATGAATAAACGAAATATTGGATAAATGAATAAAAGATGGAATGAATAAGAAAATTGAGACACGTTTTGTGTTTAAATAGAAATGAAGGAGTGAATAAATGAATGAACGAATGGATGAATGAATGAATAGATGAATGAATGAATTTATTTATTTAATAAGATAAATTGTTATCTGGCGAAATAGTTTTTTTTCGTTACCTTTTAAGTCGCCGTCTTTCTTTATTTTCATCCTGATAATAATACCTAATTTGGATTAAGTTTTGGAGATGAATGAATGAATGAATGAATGAATGAATGATTGATTGATTGATTGAATGATTGAATAAATGAATGAATGAGCAAATGAATGAGTAAATGAATGAATGAGTGAATTACTTGGATCCATGGTCAACCCAGGACGAGCAACATGATATGTTGGAGTAAATCGAACGTTCTCGAAAGAATACCCTAAATAATAATAATAATTATTATTATTTTTCATAATTTTAATTATAATAAGTTATATTGTTGTTGTGATATTATTATTATTATTCTTAAAGGCCGAATAGCTAAATGTGCTACATTCCTTTAAGCTACTACTTTTTCTGGATTCCAGCTGAGAAATTATTTCGGCTATCGTAGCTGTTTAAGTTAAACATTTGAATTTGAAGAGGAAATTGAATATCATTTTGAAGAAAATTGTTGGATAAACACTAATCTGCCTATTGTTCGTTTTAAATAGATTTTTTTTTCACTATAAAAACTTATTTTTTTGAGTTTGAAAGTTTAGGTATGTCTTTGTCTGCCTGTGCGAAATGAATCTGTAAGCACATGCGTTTGTATGTATGCGTGTGTGTGTTTGTGTGCGTGTGCGTGCGTGTGTGTGTACACTACATCACATCACGTGACACAGCCCGCCCACTCATCCACCTCCGTTTCAAATCTGTCAAGGTCACTCCATGGAGGTCGGCTGTAACTTGTGCTATTGACACCTCCCCATGGTAAATGAATGATGACGATCCAGGTGACGACGATGACGACGACGAAGATGGCGATTTGCTGAAAAATTTTCCGAAAGTTTTTTTGCCTCTTTGCAGATGTTGAGAAGTTTGAGAAGAAGAGAGAGATGTGAATATTTTGGAAAGGATGCTTTTGGCGGCGGCCGGTCCACTCAAGAAGCCGACGTCCTTCATACTGATGTAGAGGAATTTAAGTTCTGTGGATGTGGCGATTGTGTGGTGTGGTGTGGTCGTAGTGTGGTGTTGATGTGGCGATTGTGTGGTGTGGTCATAGTGTGGTGATAATGTTGGCGATTGTGTGGTGGTCTTGTGGCTATAGTGTGTTGATGAGGTGGCCAAGTTTATGATGGTAAAGTTACGATGATAATCTGGCTATATTATGAAAATATCGGAATCTAAATAATATTGGTCGAGGACTAACCAAATGTATCAGTGCGTGAATTCAGATGCAGTGGATTGCTACTGTTAGCTGGTTTGTTAATGTTTTCTGTGTTGTTGTTGTTGTTATTGTTGTAATTGGAAACAATAAGGTTGTGATTGTTTTGGTTGTTGTTGTGGTTTTTATTGTAGACTGAATTATAATTGTTGCTAGCGTTAATCATACTTCTTTGAGGTCCTGTTATGAAAATATCTATGCTATCAGTGACGATGATGACAATAATGTGATGAAGATGATCGTAACGATGACGATGTTGTTATCAGGTGATGTTGGTTGTTATGGTAGATTTAACAAATAAGAAGATTAACATAACTTATGAATAAACATTTACGATAAAAATAATTTAACCTACCAAATTTCGTCAAAAACAGTTTGCAAGGAAGTGAATATTCATCCAGCGTGTGCTCATACACCAGGTTTGCTAGGCCGTCTATTTCGCATAAATTTGCATAAATTAATTTTTAATTCGTTAACTAACTGGGCCACATTAGGCTGTGTATGTACGATGTGTGGTGTGGTTTTGTGCTGTGTGTGCGTGTGTGTGTGTATGTTTTTTGTGTGGTGTGGACGATGCAGTTGCAGCATTAGCGGCACGAGAGTTAAACTATCATTGCAAAATCATACGTAAGCAGTTCGGCCCATGTTGGAGTTTTTTGCATAATGGAGAATGATAAACTCACCCAACTCAATTAAAAACGTCGCCAGAGCAGAGCTATCAATCTAATTAGCACAAATTACTATTAATTAAGGATTGGATAAAAAAGTCTAATTAGCGAAAATTAACATGATAGTGATTGGATAAAAATCTAATTAGCATTAATTAACAAATAAATGATTCGATAGAAGTCTAACTAGCGAAAATTAACTGAATAATGATTGGATAAGAGTCTTTTTAGCACAAATTACTACTAATTAATGATTGGATAAAAGTCTAATTAGCAACAATTAACTTGATAATGATTGGATAAGAGTCCAATTAGCATTCATTATTTATTAGATGATTGGATAAGAAGCCAACCAACCAAACCACGGTTCATTTGATCCTCTTACTCTCACACGGAGTTTTGTCAGTTGATATGATAATGATGATGATAATGATGATGAGGGTGGTGATGATGGTGGTGGTGGCATTGTGTCCAACAAATAATGTCGAATCATGTCTTCTGGAGAGGCTGTTAATAGATGGATGGACGGACGGACGGACGGATGGATGGATGGATGGATGGATGGATGGATTGATAAATGGATAGATGGATATATAGATAAATAAATAAATAAATTATTAGACAAAATAAACTTAAAACCAAACTTTGACGAACTTAAAAATTACTTCAAAAACGTACGATTTATAATGTTGAAGCGAGTTGGCAGATGATCGCATTTGATGGCTAAACCGTAGGAGTGGTCGCGTGTCTTGCTGCGGCGAATGATAAAGCTGCCAGGTGGCGAGCCGATCAGTGCCTCGACGACTGGTGAGGTGTGTTTGTGGTGTGTTTTATGGTGTGTTTGTGGTGGGTTTTGTAGTGTATGTACAGCGATTATAATGTTTTAAGATGTGTATGTGATGACAAAAACACACGGAAGATATCTGCGTCTCATTACCTTCCAATCTGCTACTGTGCGGTTTAAACCAATGTTCTGATTGATTAATTACGAAAGAGGGCTCAATCTCAGCAGCCAATGAAACTGCTCCATTCGTCTCATCTGGTTGGATTGTTTGAAACATTTTATTATGTAATCGTTGAATATTTGTCTGATTCAATTTTAGTTTTTTAACATTGATAACCACCATCACTATTTAAACCAGCAGGAGGCACGAGTTCGTCATATTTGTCGTCATCGTCATAATCAAAACCATCAAGTCTGAAAAAATATTAAAAATTATTTTACACCTGAGGTAGGGTTATTTTCGAGTGGAAGAAAAATTTTGGAATCTAAAAATTTCTGATTGGCTGTTTTCGTGCTAATATCTTTGTGGTTGGCTAATGGATGTAGAGGCTGGATGTGATTGGCTGTTTGATGTCCAGACTCAATGTGATTGGCTGAGGAATGCAGAGATTGAATGTGATTGGTTGACAAACATTCGTTAAATGCCAGATTCGAGTTAATTGGAGGAGCTGAATAATGAAAAAAATTGCATAGAATTATAATTGTGTGTTGTTTCAGTGTTGTTGTTTGTCTGTTGATGGCTGTGATGTCGTTGGTACGATATGCTTTTGTTTACATTGTTTTATTTGCGCTGTTGTAAATATTATAAGGTTAGTAGTTAAATTAAAAAATCTTAAATTTTTTATCATCTGTACATTCTACAAATTTTAAAGAATTAACAATTATTTGTATTGGCTAGTCTTGAAAGCTAACCAATAAAAGGCACGTTTTGATTGGACGTCAAAGATAATCTTAACTGGTACGAACCTATTTGATTGGACGCCTTTGAATATGCCTTAATCTCATTGGTTGGAACTTTAATTCTACCAGACCAATAAAAACTTTTTTTAATGGTAGTGGGATCGTAGTTAGAAACATTTTTGTTACTGAAACTGTTGTTGTTACTGGTGTGGTTGTTGTTATAGTTGTGGTTGTTGTTATTGTTGTGGTTGTTGTTGTTGATGTAGTTGCTGTTGTTGCGGCAGTGGATGACATCATCATCGTAGTTTGTAAGAGCTTTGAAGTTGTAAACAAATTTAGGAATGAAAAGGTGATTGTACTGGTCCATACTCCTGACGTCATAAAACTTGCCGTTGATGTCACTGAAGTGGTTACTGTCACCACCGATAATAATATTATTGTCGAATCTGTAGTTAATGTCACCACTATTGGCGTTATTAAATTGGCTGTTGTAGCTAATGTTGTGGCTACTACAGCTGCTGCCACTGCTGCTAGCCACACAGCTGGCGGTATTGAATCGATTGTGAATGTTGCCGATGTTGTTGTCAGGGTAGATTAAATTTCGCTGTTGAGCCATCATTTGACCATTAAAATCATCAAATTCCTGAGAAATATTTATGTAATTTTTTTTGTTTTAAGCTGTTAAATTGTGAAAAGCTAATTACAAGATTTAAAATAAAACTGCATGAATATTCTCAATTTACTTGAAACGCTTCTTTTTATAGAGACAATAATAATAGGCAGGGAATGCTAGTGTAATTAATCATCAATGTTGAAAATTATTCAGAAAATTTTTTTCTGCGAATCTTTTAAAATTCACTAAATGACAAATATAACAACCAAACCAAACAACCAAAAACCCCTACATTACTAATCGTCATGAATTGGCGCTGCAATGTCATTGGTTGAAAAGTATTTTGTCTTGAGCCAATGAGATTGTTGCGTTTCGGTTGGGGCGTGAAGTAGCCCTGTGATTGGTTGACGTGATTGTTGGTGAAGGGGTTGCCATGACCGAAATCGCCGC